CTGTATCCAGCTCTCCCCCAAAGCCCCCCCCCCCCCGTTTTACTCACCTGACCCCCATCGTGATCCAGTGCTGTGCATGAGAGCAGCGGCTCTCCAGGCTCTGTCCCTCCTCACAGGGAAGATTCATAGCAGCGGGAGCCATTAGCTCCTGCTGCTGTCAATTAAACTCTATGATGACGGAGCAGGGGCGGGTCTATGCCCCGCTGTCTGCTTATGGATACAGGCAGCGGGGCTCAGGAGTGAACCCGCACGAGTGCTTTCATAGGAAGCGGCTTCCTATGGGGGCACTAGATGAAGAGGAGAAGCCAAGAGTGCCAGCAGGGAGACCAGAAAGAAGGAGGATCGGGGCTGCTCTGTGCAATACCATTGCACAGAGCAGATAAGTATAACATGTTTGTTGTTATTGTGAAAAATAAATACCTTTAGAAACACTTTAGGCTTGCCATTTATGGAGTGAATTTTGGCCAGCAGGGCTACCCACAGAATGAGTTTTGGCAAGTTGATCAAGAACCAGCTGAAATTCACTGTGTGGGAGGCCTTGTCAGCATCCTCTTGCCCAACATCCCTCAATTAAAAATTGAAGAAGCTGGGTGAAAAATTGTTACTCAAACAGGGCCTGCATCCAGTCATATGCAATCACTGTTTCAGATATTTTGACAGCCAGTTGCACTGGCCATTAGACTACAATAGCCGCATTGGCAGATTTGTCCGTCCCCACTGTTTCACGTGCATAGAGGAATCTGTTTTGTTCAACCTGGAGTTAAAACGAATAGAACCTATATGTGTATGGCCAGCTTTGGTGTGGCATCTGCACCTGCACTATGCCTCCCTATATGGACATAGAGTGATAGATGTCTAACAAGCATGCACTGTGTCTCACAGTGCTGTCAGAACAAGCAGTAAAGTTTGAAAACTCTGGCTGTGTTAAGCCCTGCTCATCTGAAACAAGTTTTAGACAGGTTTTAACAAACAGAACCATATAAGGAACTAAAGCAATGGAAAAGGACACATCAAGACTTTTTTTCAATTTGCATAGGTTAAAAATGTGAGTTTTGCTGTAAAGTGGACCTATTAATAAAATCCAATAAATAAATAAAAAAATGAATCAGCATTGCACATCAGCATTATCAAACATTACTTTGATTAAAAACATTCATCCTGCTTACTTACTACAAATTAGAACAAATAATGGACCTGAGCTCCTTTAGGCCCCTTGCACGTGGAGGAATCCAGCTGCACAACATACATCCTGACACTTTAGGCCCCATACACACCTGTGCATTCTGGGAACGCACACAAAAACAAGCATTTCTATGCGTGTTCCTGGAACACATGAAAAACTCATTCAAAAATTCACATTGTGTTTACGTTGTCTTTAAGGGCAAATTCACACTTAGGCTGGTCATATATTACACAATTTTCTTGTACAATTTTCCTTTAGATTTTTACCAAATAATTCATAAAATTCATTTAAGTGTGTTTTTATCATGAAAATTTGCTTTGATAAACAGCTTTGCAAAAATTGTTTGACATAAAAATGTGCAATAGCCACCATTTTATTCTCTAGGGTCTCTGCTTTTAGAAAATATATAATGTTAGGGGGTTCTAAGCAAAAGGCAGATTTTAATGTGTATGTAAACAAAAAAGGTAAAAAAAAGATTTAAGAACGCTTTTTATACTTATAAAATTTATACTTCTCCTACAAATTACCACAGCAGCCAAGCAGATCATGGCCAAAGCATGGAAGCCCCCATCTTTGAGTACTCTTGCAGTTAGGCATAAAGTTACCCAAGCCATGATCCATGCCAAAGTGGAAGCAACCGTCCTAGATTCGGTCCCCAAGTTTCTGCCAATATGGACCCCATGTGTGGACCAGTTCTTTCTGCTGAACGTTGACGATACACTGCTTCTCCCTTAGCGCTATCTAGTCCCTTCTTGTGAAGACACTAACATATCTGTTTAAATAATACCTTGGTTTGGTCCCAAGAACCTCCTCTTTCCCCTGGAAGTCCTGGCTTTACGTGGAACCCTCCTGAAGTTCTTGGAAATATTGCCTTTCTCCCAGAGCTTGACCATGTCTCACCTTCCTTCATTATACCAAACTTCCATTGCTCCCCAGGGTACCTTGTTAAATGTTTATTGCACTGTAATCCCTTTCTGTGGTAGGGCAACCTGCCCTCCCATTTCTCCCCCTTTCCTCCATTTTTTTACTTTTTGTGTTTCTTATTGTTTTATTCATGTACTTGTATTTGAGAAGCCGTATGTTTGTTCTCTTTGCTCTGAAAATTAATAAAATGTTTGAGCAAGGAAAAAGTAAAAAAAGCTTACAAAAATAAAACAAATGCAGCCACCACATCTAAGAATTGGTACGCTGCAAGATACTACATTTTTCTTTTGGGTTTCAGTTATGCACTTCTTCTGTTCCTAAAAAATCTAAAATGTAACATTAGGTCTAAAGTACTTACCTTCCCTTTTATCCACAATCGAAAGAAGCAGCAAAAGAAAATGGGACTTTAAAGGCACCATAATCTAACCAAATGAAGTTAAAAAAAACTTATTTTTATTATAGAAAACCTTAAAAGTTACATGAAACACAGTGTAAGTGCACTGTAAATTTTTGGTTCATAGAACATGCATGGTCCAGCATGAAAAACAAGAGCATAAACAGAAAATGCAAATGAGATGTGTTTCAACTCTTGACACAAATCTTCCTCAGGATATAGAAGATTCATGGTGCCTTTAAAATCCCTCTTTTGCTACTCCTTTCTATTGCTATATTTTGGATGTGGCACCGCAAGTTACCAGTTTAGGCTAAACCATGTCTCTTCATCCACAATCTCATGGCATTCAGTCATATGACTAAATGTCTAGGCACTTGGTAAAATGATTTCCACTGAAAAAGAGGATCATGGTTCTGATGGGCTGATCCTCTTCTTCACAAGTACCAGAGGCCACAGTGGAAACCAGGAGCAGTGGTTTTGCTAGTCCTCTACAGTGCCCTTTATGCCATATTGAGGGTGAGCAGAGTAAGGAGTATCCTAGATAACAAGTATATCTCTAGTACAAATCATAAGCTATAAAGTGGAGAATGATTAGAACGAATGTCAGGTATGTTTTGCTGTCTACACACCATTGGGGAGATTACCCCTCAGTTCCTATTTTGTAAACACAACAACACGAGTAGAAATATCTCCCAATTGAGGGCAAAGTTGTCATCAGAACAGTTTTTTCAATTGGAAGATTCTTCTCCATTGGCTATTCTTCACTTTCTGTCCCAAGGACGATGGTCATCAGGACAAATAGAAAGCATGAATCCCCATAGCCGGAACACAGAAAGCAAAAAAACCTGACTGGGGTTCTAACCCTTCTCTGCTCTTCCCAAAGTTTTGGCTTTAGATATACTTCAATTAAACTATTCGAAAATGGTGGAGCCCAGTTAAGGTCTTTCAATGCTGTAATTTCTACCTTGAGTTGCATTCCTGACCATGGAAGTTGCAGAAGATTAGCATGTCCTCCAGCTTATGTCCCATCTCAATCTTCTGCTCCTCGGATAACTGGTTGAACTCAGAAGCAAACTTATTGAAGGCACCGGCATACTGTACAGTCTCATCTTGGTATTCTGCAGAAGAATTGCTATGCGATCGATTTCTACGATGGATTTCTAAACCAGAATCCTGCAGAATCAGAATATTTTGGGAGCAATCAATGTATATCTAGTTTGCCAAAAACACAATTTTCAGGTAGTTTAACCAATTTTTACCTACTTCCAACCAGCTTCTGAATGCAGAAATGAGCAAATGGAGCAAATGCAGCCTACCACCATCAAATTCTGTTAATACGATTGTTTGCCCACTTCCTGTCCCAGATGAACAAGTGATAGGAAATGTGTCCAAAGTCAGAGAACTTTCCCTTAGACATTGTCACCAGAACAGGTGTTCCTATTGGAACAGTTTCCCTCATCACTTGTGTCTGTGACAACTGTAAATTTTGGATTTCTCTTCGCTTTCTGTCTTAGTGACAATAATCACCAAGACAAATAGAGTAGTTCAATCTCCCAAGACACAGGCAGTAATACAAACCTGAGAGATGTTTTAAACCCATTACTAGGTGGTAGCAGCATAGGTTGCCCATTAGTTCATGTGCTGACAAGAAGCATGGTGATAGGACAAGAAAGCAGAGAGATGAGCTCATCACTTTTATTTTAACTGACCAATCACAGGCTGGGGTGGGTTCAGGACAACCCGGGGTCATAGGAAGTGGGTTCAGTATTGCTGGCCATCAGACAGAAAATATCTAGCATCAGAAAAAAAGTACTATGAAGGAAATCTTTAAATTCAAGGTGAAAATTGTAGCAAAAGGTGGTTTTATTTTTTAATGTTTTAACGGGCTGCTCATTTTTATCTTGCTATTTTTTATCTGGAGTTCTGCTTAACCCTTTGAAGACCAAGGGACGTATTTGTCCCATGTTTTTAATTGCCTGTCACATCTGATTAAGAACTTAAAATACTTATTTTTTTTGGTTTGAGTCAAAATATTAGTTCTTATCAACAAATGGATCTAGCTTTTTGCCAATTATTTCATGAAATGGCTTAGTTACAGCAACTGAAGTGTACGAACTTTAAAAAAAAAATTTTATTCTTTTGGCGTTCCATAATCTTATGGTCCTCAAAGGGTTAAAGCCCTTTTCACACACGGCGGAATCCTTTAAAATCAGCAAGGAATCTGTCCGCTGATCCCTTGCTGATCAGAGTAAAGTGGGTAGATGACAGGTCTGTGTCCTCTAAGTTTCTGCAGAGTGGACCTGGACATAGCCCGCTCTGCTCTATGGACAGCTCTATGGAGTAAACAGACTCTGCTGTCCATTTACACCATTTACAGGCATCACCTGTTTTAGACAGTGATTCTGCATTGTAACCAGGGGCGGACTGACCATTTGGAAACTCGGGCACTGCCACGACGGCCCGGGGTCAGTAGGGGGCCCCATGAGATGCCCCTGGTACCTTTTTCATAGGCTTTTTTGAGTTTGGGCAAGGACACAAGGGCCCCATGATCCCCTATTGCCCTGGGGCCCCATGAGTTGTCAGTCCGCCCCTGATTGTAACCCAGTTACATGGGCGTCTGACAGTGTCCCGTTTCAATACATATTACAAAAGCATGGTGCACAGTTGTCACAATTCATACAAATACAATCATTAAACATTTTTCACCATCATTTCAGTCACTTACATTGGTGTTGCATGATTGAAGGGAAGATGAAAACCTGGATTGAAAAATTCTGATTATTTGCAAGCAAATCTTTTGAAGTATGCAGTTACTGCGTACTCTTTGAAAATGTTTGTTTACTTTTTGTCCGAAGTTTCATGTAAAAAATAATTAATAAGTAAAGCAGGCAATCTTTCTACTATTGAAATGTGGTTGGGAAATTGGGCAGCACAGTGACTAAATGGTTAGCACTTCCACCTGGCAGTACTAGGGTCATTGGTTCGAATCCCATCCATGGCACCACCTGCCTGGAGTTTGCATGTTCTCCCTGTGCCTGCGTGGGCTTCCTCTGTGTACTCCAGTTTCCTCCCACACTCCATAGACATGCTGGTAGGTGAATTGGCTCCTGTCTAAATTGGCCCTAGTATGTGTATGTATGAATGTAAAATAGGGACCTTAGATTGTACGCCCCATTGAGGGCATTTTATGTACAATAAAAATGTAAAACGCTCCGTAAATTGACGGTGCTATACAAGTACCTGAAATAAATAAAAATAAAATAAATAAATAGATGAACGTTTGACAACAGATACATATATGAAATCCCAGTGTAGGCAGGGGGTGCCTACACTCTCCCTGATGGATGGGTACCTGTCCCTGGCCTAGCCAGAAGCAGAATTTGCACCAAGTGCAGTGAGCCAGGGCTCACTAAAGATGGCTGCAAATGTCACCCAGGTGCAGGGGCGGACTGACAACTCATGGGGCCCCCGGGCAATAGGGGATCATGGGGCCCCTGTGTCCTTGCCCAAACTCAAAAAAGCCTATGAAAAAGGTACCAGGGGAATCTCATGGGGCCCCCTACTGACCCTGGGCCCTTGGGCAGTGCCTGAGTTTCCAAATGGTCAGTCTGCCCCTGCCCAGGTGGCAGTGTCCAATCGGACAGCAGTTCACCTGATGACACATATGGAGGCTCAAGAGGAATGGGTATTCTTCCATTCTCCACTCTCCCTGCAAAGATGCAACAGCACCACCTGTGTAGAGATGTCAATGACACCTACCTACACTCCCCCCCACTTTGACAGATGCAGTCCCTGACATCGACTCTCAAAAAACAACAACATAACAGTGGAATTCAACAGTGTAAACAAATGGTTAATCAGAAGAACAGAGTAACAACAGTGTGTTATACAGCATAATCAGAATATTTGACCCGCAGTTGCCCCCTGTTAGACCAAATAAGATGTTGACTTTCGCTGGAATTCTCCAACTAGTCATTAGGATTGGCATGTACTGGAGCTTGCTCAGGAGCCTCAGGTGTTTGGGGGTTATCATGGGTAGGCATAACACCCTTACCTGGGCCCTCAGAAGTTTCCTCACAGGAGTCCAGAAGTTCACCAGAATTCTTTGAACTCTCCCAATCCTTTGCTGGGTGATCTTTCGGAGAAGCGGCTATGGTTTCATCTTCAGACATGGTGGTTTCAGTTGGGATCACGTCAAGGGGTGGCAGATGCAATTCAACTGAAACCTCTTGAATAGGGGAAGGGTCCACAGGATTAGCATCCTGTGAGTCTGTAGGGGGCTTAATGGGGCCGTCATTGTCCAATACACAGGACCTCAGCAGATTTCGGTTGAGATGTTTCCTGTTAGGTTCAATGATACAATGTTGTATACTGAGAGCAGTGGTAATGGCTGTTTATATACCCAGTATGGGGTTGTCTCGCACCAGGGTTCCAGTTTGCTCCTTTATTCAATCTTTGGGTTTTTCACTAACACCTGGTTCACATGTTAAATATGGTCCTCAAAGGTTTTGGAAAAAACATTAATGTCATCCAAGAAGATCAGTACCGTTTCAAAGTTATAGTCTCCTAAGCGTTGCTTCATCATTCTTCATCATTCTTGAAAATAATTCTTTGAAAGGTGCTCTGGATGTTCCTCAGCCCGAATGGTTTTGTCCAAAGGAGTCATTGCAGCTTGGAGTGAAGCACAGATAGCTTCTACCGCTGGATGGGACCCCATGCTGCAATGTTTGGGCACCACATAGAGGTCTGCAAGGATTTTGTGGCCTGGCAATTGGACAGGAGCTGAGCTGAACTAATGACCGGCTTGATTAATTGTACAAGGTACAAGCAATCAGCTATTCCCTTGACACGTCGAGGTCTTTGCAGGATTCCACCCTGATTCTTGCAGGACCCAATGGGTAGGGACGACATGACTTCTGGGAAGGAGGCCAAAAAAGCTTTTGCTTTGGGGGTGTGTGGACAACCCATACCCATTCTTTTTGCCATTGTGTCACCAGCTGTTGAGCTTTGTAGGCTTGTACCACATTGAGCCACACAGACTGTAAGCAGCAACTTTGTTTTGGTTTGCTGAGCCTCTCCGCTTCTGACAGCAGAAGAGGTAGGTCAAGATTCTTTAGGATGTTCATGCCCAGGACTATGGGTACTGTGGACACTACTGGGCTGTGCGTAATCACTACTCCAACTTGCTCCACCATTTGGTTGAATATTTGCACCCTCACCAATGTAATCCCTTCCACTCAAATGGGTAGGTTGTTGGCTGCTTTTAGTGATAACTATGATGGGTCTAGCTAATCTCGGGTCTCAAAATGTTGAGCATAAAAGTCATATTCCATGATGGTGACCTTTTTATCTGGTGTTGATCAGGCAGGGGACTAATTGTCACTACTGGACTTGGGGCCTACCATGGTCTCCTGTTTGGTGGAACATTGGTACGCAGTCCCCAGGTGTTGTCTCTCTGCCACAGTTGCCTCTAGTTTAAAGACTGGTGAGAGTTCTTCTATTCTGTGAGTGGCCACAGCTCCTGGCCAAACCCAACCACACCACCAACACTTCCAGTCTTCATTTGGATCCTGTCAGAGGGGGTTCTCGCCCTTGATTAGATAGGCCAGCTCTTGCTTGTAGATAGTCTTTTACTGCTGCATGGATGCCAGGTTGTGGGTCAAGTCTTGGATGGCTGTCTGAAGGATCAACAGTGGGGAGGGGGCCAGGGCCTCTTTTCTGACATAAATAGGTTCACCTTTTTTGGTTAGGGCCATGGTGGTTTCCTCATTCTCCTATTCCCTGACCACCACTATATCATTGAAAGTGAGAGAAAGCCAAGACCTCACCTTTTCCTGCAGGGCATGCCAGATAGGGCCCACACTCACCTCTCCTATGAACTGATCTTGTAGAAGCTTGTTTAGGGTGCCTATATCAGCACATCCCCTTGGAGGTACTTTTTCCATGATTTCTGAAGGGCTACGGCAAAGTGTGTAAGGCTCTCATCCTCCTGTTGCCTGCGTATGCAGAACCTGCATCTTAGTTCAATTAGGGTTATATGCCTCTTGTCCTACACACTCCTTGCAAGGTAGATATAACAGTGCCACCTGTGTAGGGAAGAGTCAACCTTTACCTGTCTACACCTGGACACCTTAAAAGTCAACTTGCTTACTTTAGGGGTTTGGGTAGATAGTTGTCAAACTCCAAAGCAGGTAAAATATGGTATACTTTCAGGTGTTTCTAGGTTTACTTGACTTGGGTTTGAGTCACTTGATTTGTCAACTGCTCTGGCATTCACATTGACAGAAAAGAGGCAAACAAAAATCTGTGTTCATAAGGCCTAAAGATGGGCTGTTTTAGCTATCAAAAATGTATAACTACTGTATCCTATTTAAAGTAGATCTGTGCTGATAATACCTAAGTCTACCCTAAATACAATTGTACATGGACATTGGTTTGCATTAGAACTGCCCCCTCTACAAAATTTAATATGAATGTAAAAGCATGCAGCTTATAAAGAGGTCAGAAGCAGGCCAAAAGCGCCTCCGAAACAGAACAAAAGAATTTTAAAGGCATCTCAAACTGAATGTCCCTGAAAGATCACTGCATTTGCTCATCTACACCCCATACCGGTCTCTACTTTCTATAAGAGGAGCCGAGGAGGGGAGGAGGCCTGGATTTGCATGTTTAAGGGAACTTGGCCAATCGCCAGGCAGGAGGCCAGGCATGGTGGCTAAGAGCAAAACTTGAATGTGGAGAAGCCTGAACAGTAAGGGAGTTGGGTGGAAGATAGGCTGAAAGAAGGTGCTGGAATGTGGAGCCTGGGAAGGAGCCCCAGGGTGGGATGTCTACCCACAGGCTGGTGCTGAACGGAAGGATCTCCACTGTACCATTGTCTCCTAGGGAGGAAAGCCTGTTAGCAGAGAAGGAGCCAGTCCACTGTAAGGCCTGAAAGCAGCTGCAACCTACCAAGCTAACAGGACAGGACAGTATGGGTGCTTCTATACCCCCTGGGCCAAAGAAGGGAGAGGGCAGTCAGGTGCAATACCCAATTAATTTTCACCCGGAACTACTTAACTGCAGATCTTGGAATCTCTTGCCCAGGGATACCCTCAGGACAGCTGGGTGAAAGAGGAAAGGATTATCTGAGGTCTGAGGAGGTACACCAAAGGGAACTCAGAGCGCCTTAAAGAGAATGTTGCTGATTTTTGGTCTGCCAGAGAGAGTCTGTCAGTTGTCTGGATGCATAAAGGGAAGCATGGAGACCTGAGATGAAGTAGCGGAAGTTACTCTTCCATAGACTGGGGAACTGTGGAGAGCCTGGGAAACCATCAAGATGGCCTCATTCAGAGAATTCTTGCATTTCCTTGTGAGTTTTCTTTTTGCTGCAATGGGAGGCAGCTATTGCTACCAAAATACAGATTGCTGGTTACAGCTTAAAGGCTCTTTACTGCTGTCTCTTCCTTTTTTCTTTTATCTAAGAAGTCTAAGTCTACTAGTCTGCTGCTTTTTGACTTAGGGTGTCCTGTTCCCAAACCCGCTCTCCCATTTACTGTTGTGAGCAATAAAACTCAATTTTGTGCTTTCTAAAAGT